GACTTTTTACAAGGGCCTGCAGTGATAGGACGAGGGGTGATGGTCGGAAGCTGGAAGAGGGCAGGTTTAGGCTAGATATAAGGAAGAAGTTCTTCACCCTGAGGGTGGTGACACAGTGGAACAGGTTGCCTAAGGAAGTTGTGGATGCTCCATCCCTGGAAGTGTTCAAGACCAGGTTGGATGGAGCCTTGAGCAACCTGGTCTAGTGGGAGATGCCCCTGCCATGGCAGGGGGGTTGGAACTAGATGATCTTTGAGGTCCCTTCCAACCCAAACCATTCTATAATTCTATTAATATATTTATTTATCTAACCTATAATAATCACAGTTGCTCGAAAGAGACTTATCACTATCAATGAACTCAAATTGCAGACCAGAGTCCTCCTATGTGAAAACTGGGCAAACTCTTTAATCGTAGAACAACAGAACAGTTGAGGTGGGACAGGACCTCTGGTTCAAACCCATGCTCAAGCAGGGCCACCTAGACCCAGCTGCCCAGGACCATGGCCAGTCAGCTTTTGAATATCTTCAAGGAGGAAGACTCCACAACCTCTGGGCAATCTGTGTCAGTCCTCAGTCAACCTCTCAGTGACAAAGCATTTACCGATGTTCAGAGGGAATCTCCTGTGTTTCAGTTTATGCCCACTGCTTCTGATCCAATCACTGGAACCCAATGAAAATAACCTGGCTCCACCTCTTTCACACCCTCCCTGCAGGTGTTTATCTACATTCCTAAGATCCCCCTGAGCCTTCTCTACTCCAGGCTGAACAGTCCCAGCTCTCTCGGCCTTTCCCCATAAGAGAGATGCTCCAGACTCTTCATAATTGTCAAGGACTCTCTCCAATATATCCATGCCTCTCGCACTGAGGAGCCCAGACCTGGACACAGTACTCCATGTACGGCCTCACCACTGATGTCAGAAGCACAAAAATTAGAACCATGGTAACGAAATTGGAAAGCCTCAAACATCAAAAGATGGAATGACCCCAAAGGTTAACTCAAAAGGTTAAATAATAACCAAGACATAGGTTATAGTAATTAAGAACAGGACTTGAATACAATACCAACCTTGTCAACCTTTGTAGATAATGTTTCTTTATGGTCTGCTTCTATAAATCAAGGGTAGATTTGGACAAGGGTCAAAATCAAAGATATCCCCACATAACCTATAGCAATTTTAATACTAAATATTACACCCACTTGTGCATAATGAGTATGTAAATGTAGGACCGCCTTATCGTAATGAATTTGGTAATCTGTGGGGCATGCATATAAAGATTATTATGTAAAATCATGTAACCAATCAGGTATTATTTCTTTGTTATTGTAAAGTATATAAACTACTGTTGTTTGAACTTAAAGTGTGATAGATTTGCAGTTTGTCACCCAGCACCCACTTCCACAGAACCATCATAAATCAAATATGTCAACTTTGTGTGTGGATCAGTGTGTACACTTTGCACACCGGGTAAATAATCCAGATTTGTGACAACACGAGTGCTGAGAAGAGGGGATGGATCCTCTCACTCAACCTGCTGGCAAAGCTCCTCCTGATGTAGGCCAGGATACTGTCAGCCTTCTCTCCTGCAAGGGCACATTGTTGGCTCACGATCAACTTGGTGTCCACCAGGACCTCCAAGTCCTTTTCTGCCAAGCTGCTTTCCAGCTGGGTGGCCCCAGCATGTTCTGGTGCCTGGTGCAGGACTCCCCAGGTGCAGGACTTTAGACTTCTTGTTGAACTTCATGGAGTTCCTGATGTGGTACATGCTTTCATTTCACCCAACATTACATTTATCTAACATGATTATCTGATGCAGTTGGACATGTATGCACAGAGTGGTCACACTAAACTATTACGTTTTTACGGTTGTACAGTTGTACAGTTCAGGATCTCTGACTTTTAACTAAGTACACATATTTTTCTTTCCCATCTCATGTTTTAAAAGGTAAAATGGTCTAATTTGGAAGAGAGCAGTAGGCTGTAGAGAAAATAGTCCTGTTGCATTTTTATTTATTTTCTTTATTTCTGGAAATGCAGATGGAGACTTTCACAGACACAAACTAAATTTAGCTACCTAGATGGGATTTAGGCACTGAAAAACAGCCATTTTTTCTTTTAAAAAAATCTATTCCTCAGTTTTATCTTGAACAGACAGGAGAGAGAACATCAACAGTAAACAAACCATCTTAAATAGAATATTTACTTTTTCCTCTTTAGGCTACATTCTATCCACAATCTTCATGACCTCAAGTGAACCCAGTAAATTTTACAAGACTGTATTAGGGGACAAAATTTGTTTCTGGGTTCAGAGGACAATTCTGTTTTTTATGTAAGGTAATGAAGGGTTTGGAAGGCAGGAAAAATAGAAAATTAATACACTTGTATTTAACATTACTTGAACCTCGAGTTCATAGTGTCAGAGAATGGAATTCATCTGTTCATTCCTCTGCAGTTAGTAGTAGACTATATAGGCCAATAGTTAGTGTTCTGGATTATCTTGTCCCTTGTCCACTCAGACTCTAAATTACTACATTATCTGGCCTTCTTTCACCTTACTCTTTTCTAGCTAATTTATTTATATTACAAATTGGTTAGAATAAAGCAACATACTTCTACCTCAAAAGCTGGCTTCCACCGATTTAGGCTGACGGACATATATATAACACATCAAAGTTATAAAATACCTATATAAAATACTAGTTTTGTTTAATAAAGGGCACTTTTATTTTCCAAACATGTTACTAACATGAATCAGATCATGCTGATATCTGTTAATAGTTGGGGTTTTTTTCATAGTTTAAATGTTGTACAAGCTCTAAATTTTTCAGAATATGTCTCAGTAATCACTGTGGCTAGAAATGCTTACAGACCATATGTGACAGTACTAGAAGAGCTGTTCAGATGGTAGTATATGATTTCTAGAGGGAGGTTGAATGGGCAATGACTAAGCTATCTATCAAAAGTTCAGATGCTGACTTTTTTTCAACAAAGTACAGACCCATACACATACAAGGTTACCATCTCATCTTTCCATGAACGTCCTTATGCAAAACAGTTTATAAATCAAAGGCAGAGATTTTCTAAGCTACCTATGATATGTGGAAGTCATGCTTTGTACATTTATTAGATTAAAAATTATTTAAATAATTCAAGGGCTAGAGAGTGGCTGTGGTGTATGTGTTAACGTTGTTAATAACCTATATTTCACACCTTTTAGTAACCTCTTCTACTAGCAATTACCTAACTGACAGATGTTTGTGAAGTTGCCATCTTAGTGATTCACACAGCATAGCTAAAGAGCCTTTTTTAAAAGAGCAGAATTCAACTTTTACCCATTTTTCCCCTGGCATTCATGTTCAGCCCTGAACATAGGACTGTACGTGTAACTGACAACTATTGAAACTCGTAAGTAATTTGATGCCCCTGTACAGCTTGCTATAGGAATCCTCCACAGATTCAAGTATGTGTGCCCTTTCAGCTTAACTGAAATTGCTGTTAAGTAGGTGCCGTTAAATTACATTCTTCTGACACTGAACAGTACCACATCCCATTCAAATAGGGCAGTATGTAGTAAAAAAAACTGTGCCTCTCTGTAGAGTCAATATGCTTTCTTAGTTTGCAAAGTAGTAAATGATAGTATGACTCCACAAATGCTTAAAGGTGTCAAAATAATAACTGGGAAAATGCATTTCTACATACACAAAACCAAAATATAAATTCATGCTTTTATAATCAGAGAATCCTGTGATCTTTCAAGAAGTATTGTAAGTTCTGGCCTCCTCATTCTAAGAGTGAGACTGGGGCTGGGAAAATGGCCAGAGATCTTCCAAACTCAAATTTAGGCATCAGTTCTTGCCAAAAGTTAGAACTGAAATTTTAACTAATAGAGGGTCTTTTGAAATTCTCAACCTCGAATTGAGAAATCAGTCTTTAACTATAAAGCCACAAATATAAAAAATGAGTGTATACAATGTACTGTTCACAGTAAAGTACTGTACTGATATTTCTCCTTCTCTCCCTCACTCTTCCCATGACCACTGAATAGTCTTCTTCCCTCTCCTTTCTACTGACTCTTTCTTTTCCTCCAACACAACTCATTAAAAACTGTGATTTTTTTCTTTTTTCTTCTTCTTCCTTATCTCCCTTACTTCTTTTTTTATCCTCAGTGATTTGTCCCAGGTCTGCTGAGCTTTCCTTACTTTTCCCACCATCTGGCTACACAGCTGTTACTGACATTACTGAGTGAGTTGTGAAAACAGTTGTTCAGAAGCTGATTTTACCTGCGTTTCCCATTCTCTATGGGACTGGAAGTTATGAAGATCAGGACAGGTGAAATATCGTATGAAATAAAACTCGATGCTTTAAAGAAAACTAATGCAGCACAAATGTTTTGTAGAGACAACATGGATAGGTCCAGTTTAAAGAGAAATCATATGTTGAAGCAAGTTGCCAACCACAATGGGATGGACTATTAACTACTTTATAAATCAAGAGCTGGTTATGCTCTCCATGTCAGCTTCATGGTATCACTGGAGGGACAGGAGAAAGGGGAAGTACAGGAGAAACTTTGACCTAATACTGAAAAATGGATGTGAAACGAAGTAGCTGTTTCAGTTGCATTATAGAACAAAAATGCAGAATACTCATATAAAGTGTAGAACCTGACTTTTTTCCTCATTTGTTTTGCTTTCTGTCTCCTCCAGTATACTTCTTGCTCCAATAGGGACCAAGTCCTCCGAGCCCTGGACTCCACAATGTATAGCAGATGAATACTCAAACACAGCTGCCTAAATCCTAGTGTAATTACACAGACTGCTGGTCATCACAAGGTGAGGACAACGTTTCCTATCAGAAAGTTATAATAATTAAGACTCAGATCCAGGATGCTTTTAAGTGTATTTAGCTTTAGACGTATGAATCATTCTAGAGGTTTCAGATGGCATCTGTTGTGTTTTGTGAGATACAGCCAAACAGAAAAAAAATGTATAAAACATCTCACCAGATTCTTCAAATTCACTGTTATATGCATTCCAAGTCTCACTTATGCGGAGGAGATTTTCTTCCATGGCTTGAATGTCCATGTAGGGACAGTTGCACTCTGGGAATTTGGGACCACACTGACACCAGCAGTCATTGTCCTTGCAGATGAACTCCCCCTCTGAATTACAGGCAATATAACTCAGAGCTGCTTGGACAAAATGTTCTTGCAGATACTCAGGCAGGATGACCTGAAGACCTGAAGGAAAGAGAGTAAGCATCATGGTATGAAACACAAATGAATGCTCAAGCCAAGAAGCTTCCCCAGCGTATATAACAAACAAACAATTATGAAAAAGGAAACTATACAGCTTTTTAGGACAATTTACACATCTGTCTAGCATTTGCACTGTCATGCTTTTCTTTTCTTAAGAATTAATTTCAGATATATTCCTTACATTTCCCTCTCAGTATGGAACATCCATTTCACCAACTGCTAACCTGTGTTCCTCAGACAGAGCATTTACTGATGTAATTTCTTTCTAGGGGGATTGTCAAAACAGAAAGAAAGGATTACATCAACTTCTTGTAAAGAATTGCTGAATGAACAGCCTCAGAGTAAGAGCTTTGCAGTAAGGAAACATGCAGCTGAATTATAATCTTGGTACTAGCAGCTAAGGCAAATTTTGAGAGTGCTGATGAAGGCAAAGCAGCCCTGAAAGACACAGTAAAGAGACAGTATAACCAGAAAAAGAGGTTTGAAGGTAAGCATTTCCATTCTGTATTGGACTTGTTTACCATTTGCCTTTGACACAAGATATAGCTTGTCTAAATAACTCATCTCTTCGTGATTCTGTAGAGACAAACAAAGAAGAATGGGAAAAATTGGGTGGGAGGAAATAATAGAAAAATAAAATTTGGCTGATATTTCATTTCTCATAATATTAGTATTTAATTACTAAGGGACAGTCAATTGTGATGGGTAGGGCTATAAAACCTTGAGAAAGAAAATTAATTCTTAAACCTACTAAACGTTTAGCATGGAGAAAGGGTGCAAAGTCTAGCTCCCATGGTGTTTCAAAAAACTCCTGCTACATCACAAATCGCTTTTCAAAGTGTTTTCATGCTTTGCATTGCCATGGCTTGCAGAGGCCTGGCAAAAGCATGTCACATTGATGTATCAGAACCACAGAGCAGGTGAATCAAACATTCAGAATGTTTGTGACCAGAAATTTAGACTTACTCATCTGAAAGTTTTGATCATTGTTTACACCATCCTAATTAGGGGAAGGAGTATATTATATAGAAGCATTTTAACTAACTAGTTACTGTAGCTACAATAGTAATCCATCAATCAAAAAGCCACTGCAAGGTACATTATACATTTTTATTTATTATTTATTGTTATTCTCTATGGCAAAAATAATCTCTCTGGAACCAGTGGAACATATATGTGGGACAAGTAATTTCTAAGCATATGGATTGGTTATTTGTGATGTAGGTTTCTTCCACACATTTGCTTGGACAATTTCATAGAGATTTGTCCCTTATTTTTAGGTACATAAAAATGATAGCTGTAATAGTAATTTCATAATCCTTCCAAGCTGAAAGTTGCACCACAATTGCTAAAACCGGGTCTGTCTGTGCTGTTTTCTACCCCATGTCAAAATTTGTAAAACTCGGTTGTTACCTGAGTAAACTTTTCAATGTACTTGTATACTTGTGAAAAGCCATGAAATTGTGAAAGGAAAAGAAAGCCCAGATAAGTAAACTTGAGTTCTGTTCAATTCTTCCATGATAAGTACAAAATATTTTATGCAGTTCTGATAATATATTTCTCATAATGATAATCCAATGCCGTGTGTCAAACCACTGTCTGAGTGATGCAAAGATTGTTTTCCAAATTTTAACTGACAAATATCATGCGTATGCTGAAGACCATTAAAAATCACTAACTGTTTCTGGAAACATTTCATTACATCCCAGTGGAAATTACAAGTACTATTTTAAAAAATACATACTGTCTCTGAAATCATTGTATGATTTTAAGGCTTTTAACCTATTCTAGGGAGAGAGAAAGGAAAGGGAAAGAAGCGCACATGATTGTTTTAAACAGGAAGATAATCTTCCCCTAACAGCCATTCTTGATAGCAACAGCTTCACACTATATGTCCAACTGATTTATGAACCAATACTGAAAATTTTTAAAACTGGAAATAATTGTATAGCTACCTGTAACTGCAAATAAGAACTGTATTCTTTGCTTGTTGTATATACACAGAGGTATACACATATATACCTCTATACAAGTATATAAACTATTTATTAAACTAGCACATAAATTAAAGAGAATTGAGTCTGTCTTCATAATAATAAGTTGTTCATGCTACATTCATGTAACTGAAAAAGGCTGTAATTAATGCCTAATACCCTAGAGGGTGACTTTTCAAAAATGGTTATATACCTAATATGCAGGTTCAGAAATGCATCTACTGGAATTAACAAAAAAATAATTAGAAATGATGCTTCTCTGTTTCCTTTCTCTTTTCCTTTTCCTTTTTCCTTTTCCTTTCCTTTTCCTTTTCCTTTCCTTTTCCTTCTCCCTTACCTTTGTCTTTACATTTTCCTTTCGCCTTTTTTTTTTTTTTTTTTAATATAACATTACTATTACTATTCTAATGAGTGAGATGTCTAACCTTCCAAGTTTTCTTAGAAGTCCCAAGAGGAGCCTTTGGACTCTTCATTATTTAGAGTCTTTGAAAATCTATATCCTGCTCCTCTCGTGACTCCATTGATTTCTGTGGGACAACTGCGTGAGGTATAAGCTACTACTCAGTACATGCAAAGCAGGCTGAGCACACTAAATGTCACTCCCTGCTTGGTAGAACCATGGGAATTCAGGTTGTTTAAAAGGTGTGCAAGTGGTTGCTAAACAGGGCTGTAAAATGTTAGCATTATTTCTGATGTGTACAGAAATTGTTTCTATTTCAAAGGCAACATGTTACTGACATTTCCCTCACTTTGTCTAGAATGTACTTATTGCACACACAAAAAATATCAGAAAAATGACCTTTTATGAGGTGGAAGAAAAGAAAACAAATACTTTGATAAATGTCATCCTGTTCCAAAACAAATTAATGAAATTGCACCTACATACCTTGCAACTGAATCTTATTCTCAGGACTCTGAACCAGAACAGAGCTGACAGAATCTAGGTTGTCATAGTTACTGCAGCCAAGAGGACCAGTCCGCGTTTCTGTTACCTGGTGGCAAGGGAACGGAAAAGTATTTACTGTATTATTGAAAACAAACTGAGGAGTTCAGAAGCTAGTTTCATAAAGTTTCTCTTTAATTCTGCTGGCGGTACATTTCAGACTTAATTAAGGTCAAATAGCTCAATTTAATTACAAAAAGTATGACTGCAAATGTTTTACTAGTACCACAGACTTTGAGGAATGCTATTTCTATTGCAGAGAATCCATAATACTTTACCTGACCAACAGTCTAAAGACAGAATCACAGAATGTTAGGGGTTGGAAGGGAACTTGAAAGATCACCTAGTCCAACACCCCTGCCAGAGCAAGAAAAAAAGACCATTTATTTCTTCATAGCTATGGGAATTAGAATGGGTTTAATAAATGTGTTTGGTAAAAATGAGGACTGTGATTTTCACTGATGAAACTTGCTCACATGGCAAATTATCAGGATTCAGAAATAAAAACCTTTCATGAGATGTATTTATAATGGTGGTAGTGGTGCAATATTTTTCATCAGGGGAAGGCCTAAGAGAGGTTTAGACATAGAATTCTAGACATCCTGCCTATTGTAATCACTGAATCCATGACCACAGAATCAAAATATATCTAAATTTATCAAAACAGAATCATCACAAATAGAGTTCTGGCTTGACAGTTGAGGATTGTACTTGGCAATGAGCAGTTATTTAAATGAGTAAATACATTTTTAAAAAAAAGACTATATGTGATTTATATGCTTCACGGAATATTATAAATAATTCTTAAGTGCCAACAAAATAATTATAAAGGCTAATATCTTTTTTTTTTTTTTTTAACAGAGTCTAATGCAGTTTCTCAGAAATGAAGCACTGCAGCTTTTGAAGCAATGCTGTGATGCCCAGGCAGCTCCACAGCACATATGGCAGTATCTCACCTTTTTTTTTTTTTTTTTTTTTCCTGTATAGGGAGTCAAGGGAAAAAACCCAAACCCTTAGGATAAGGGGTATACTGTGATCTCACATTTTTTAAACTGGATTGGGTGCTGTGGAAAATTCATGGTTTTGTAGTTCCTTCACCTTTATATGGAGATCAGGCAGAAAGAAGAAAGCAAAAGTGGAATAAAAATAGTACAAACAGAGCCATACAGGAAATGCTGGCCATGGGATATCATCCCAGTCTCCTTTACTGCCAAAGTACAACCAATTCCTATATCATACCCCCTCCCAAATTGCTCCCATCCTGGAACTTCTTAATCTCTCTTCCTTTTGCTGTCTCAGAGGTTGTGGCCAGATTTACCCTTATTTGATGATATGCCTCAGTTTTGCATACAACTACTTCTATTTTCTGTTACTTCAGTTGTTATATTCAGTTCTGGATCTCCTGGAGAATAAGCCTAAATTATAGGGTCAAGGAGCTCATTTCCAAAGTACACAGCTCCACTGAGAAGACGTCTGACATGTAAACAGAAAACTAACCTTAATTCTTATGAACAGAAGGGAGCATGCTATTTTAACAATTTGTTTCAAAAAGAATATGAAGATTTGCTAAAATAATCCATGAATTTTCATGTTGCTTAGGGTTGCCTGGCTCTCTTACAGTCTGTGTTGCCACCAGCATGTGTGGGTGGCTGCAGCTGGATCATGTTATTCTTGAAACCACGAAGATATAGTATTTTCCAAGATATCTCGCACTTTTGCAAAGTAAATACAAAATCTTAGGGTATTCCAAGATCTTGACACCTTTCCATCCCTTTGAACTAGTGTTCCCAAGTGGAGAAGGAGACCCTTTGCAATGCCAGCAGCCGATGGAGAGGACACACAGAACTGGCTTCAGCCAAACTTGTTAGCAGACTGCCAGCTGCATAAGGAAATGAGAGGGAGCCAGGATGTCTCTGCACATATTTGGCAGTCTTTAGTATTTATGCCAGGGCCAGATTTACCATGTTTTTTCCTTAATCATCCTGAATCAGCACAAAGACTCTTGCATGGGCATCGAATTTGGCTTGGACATGGATGGAATGATATTTTTGATTTATCTGTGATCCTTCAGTGCCCTCACTCTCACAACAAGTGGTCTAAAATTCCATTCTAAAATCTCTTTTTTGTGTAGTACCCCCAGCTCATATACAGAATCCTAATCTGTTACACAATAACAAAGGCAGTCACCTACACTAAATAAGATAAACAGCCAGAAGGCGATAAAAGAGAGGTGAATATTTTTATGAGTTTTATTCTAGTACTGAAAGACTATGTATGTTCAGCATTTATCTATGCAATTCTTTATTTAAGGATCCATTTATTTTAGTGCTATGGGGTTTTATATATTATTATTATTCTTTTCAACCATTTATCTATAAGGCAATGCAGTTTCATAAAGTTATATGAAATGTATAAACTATAAAGCCCATTTTACAATTCCTATCCATTCTTATTATTCTTATGCCTGCTGAAATCACAAAATAAGGAAGATTAGTAAGTAGCTTTTTAATTATTGTGTCCCTTTTTGTTCATGTATCTTCATTCTTCATTTGGATTATGCAAGATATAGGTAAAGATTACCACTGTTTTGATTATGGGAGTGATAACATTGATGTATTCAGGTGTGCCAAAAGTCAGAAGGGGTAAAAATAATCATTAAATGTTTTTTTTTTACTTTTAGAGACTGGTTATATAAATCCACTGAATCAAAAGAAAATTATATGATTCTATATGCATGAAAAAAACTGAGTGTGGTTAGACTTCGAGATGAATTACAGACATTTGTGGTTATTATACGTAAGCAATAAAATATTGTTCTAATAACAGCAATCATAAATAATGCTTTCTAAATAGAGCAATAAATAAGGACTTTTTCCAAACATTATGTTTTCACTCAAATCTATACATTTGTATTATTCATTCTTTTACCTTTCCAAGAACCCTTGCCTTCCTCTGTCAGCTCCTTTGCTCTGGTACTCTTAGCTTCTACATAGAAAATACATTGCAAGAAGAATATCATAGAATGGCTTAGGTTGGAAGGGACCCTAGAGATCATCTAATCCAACCTCCCTGCCATGGGCAGGGGCACCTCTCAACTAGACTAGACTGCTCAAGGCCTTATCTAACCTGGCCTTGAACACCTCCAGGGAGGGGGCATCCACAACCTCTCTGAGCAATCTATTCCAGAGTCTCACCACCCTCGTACTGAAGAACTTCCTAAGATCTAGTCTAAACCTACTCTCCTTCAGTTTAAAACCATTTCCTCTTGTTGTGTCGCTGGACAGTCTTGTAAAAAGTCCCTCACCAGCCTTCCTGTAGGTTCCCTTCAGGTATGGGAAGGCAGCTATAAGGTCCCCTGGAGTCTTCTCTTCTCCAGGCTGAACAATCCCAGTGCCCTCAGCCTATCCTCATAGCAGAGATGTTCCAGCCTCTGGATTGTCTTTGTGGACCTCCTCTGGACTTGTTCCATGTTGAGTCTCTCATCAATCAACACTCTCAAGTCCTTCTCTTCAGGGCCACTCTCAAGCCACTCTCTATCCAGTTACTTGTGCCTGGGATTGGCCTGACCCAGTTGCAGGACCTTGCGCTTTGACTTGTTGAACCTCATGCAGTTTGCATTGGCCCATTGCTCAAGCCTGTCAAGGTCCCTCTGGATGGCCTCCCTTCCCTCAAGCGAGTCCACCATGCCACACAGCTTAGTGTCATCGGCAAACTTGCTGAGGGTGCTCTCAATGCCACTGTCCGTGTCACTGACAAAGATGTTAAACAGCACTGGGCCCAGAACAGACCCCTGAGGAACTCCACTTGTCACTGGTCTCCGCCATTGATCACAACTCTTTGAGTGCGCCCTTCTACCCAGTCACTTATCCACCGAATGGTCCACCCATCAAGTCCATGTCTCTCCATCTTAGAGACAAGGGTGTCATGTGGGACCGTGTCAAATGCCTTGCACAAGTCTAGGTAGACAACGTCTGTTGCCCTTCCCATATCTACCAGAGCTGTAACTCTGTCAGAGAAGGCCACCAAATTAGTCGGGCATGATTTGCCCTTAGTGAAGCCATGTAGGTTGTCACCAAACACCTCATTATTTTTTATGTGCCTTAGTACAGATGCCAGAAGGGTCTCTTCCATGATTTTACCTGGCACAGAGGTGAGGCTGACTGACCTGTAGTTCCCTGGGTTTTCTTTGCTTCCCTTTTTAAAAATGAGGGTTATGTTTCTCCTTTTCCAGTCTGTGGGAACTTCACCAGACTGCCACGACTTCTCAAATATGATGGCTAGTGGCCTAGCAACTTCAGCCATCAATTCCTTCAGGTCCTGTGGATGTATCTCACCAGGTCCCATAGACTTATGCACCCTCAGGTTCTCTAGGTGTTCCCGGACCTGATCTGCTCCTACCCTGGGTGCTTCTTCACTCTCTCAGGCCCAGTGTCCTCTGTGACTTGGGTGGTGTGGTTCAAACGGTTACCAGTGAAGATGGAAGCAAAAAAGTCTTTGAGTACTTCAGCCTTCTCCTTATCCTCAGTAACCAGCTCACCTGTATCCCTTGGGAGAGGCCCCACAGCCTCCCTAATTTTTATTTTTTCTCCAATATACCTGTAGAATGCATTTTTGTTATTTTTAGTGTCCCTGGCCAGATTTGATTCTGTCTGGGCTTTAGCTTTTCTAACCTGGTTTCTGGTTTCATGAACAGTCACTTTGTAATCATCCCAGGTTACCTGTCCTTGCTTCCACCCTTTGTGTATTTCCCTTTTGTATTTGATTTTGGCCGGGAGTTCCTTGTTCATCCATATAGGTCTCCTGGCATTTTTGCCTGATTTCTTCTTTGTAGGGTTGCGGTGCCTTTGAGCTTGGAGAAGATGATCCTTGAAAGTCAACCAGCTTTCCTGGGCTCCCAATCCTTCCAGGACTTTGTCCCATGGCAAACTAACCAAGGAGGTTCCTGAAGAGGGCAAAGTTGGCTCTTCTGAAGTCGAGGGTTTCAAGCTTGCTGAGAGTCCCCTTCTTTGATGCCCTTAGGATCTTAAACTCCACCATCTTGTGGACACT